TAAAAAAATTTTCCTTCTCGGGGCGCCTGGGTGGCTCAGTGGGTTAAAGCCTCTGCCTTCGGCTCAGGTCATGATCCCAGAGTCTTGGGATCAAGCCCCGCATGGGGCTCTCTGCTCAGCAGGGAGCCTGTTTCCCCCTTTCTCTCTGCCTGCCTCTCTGCCTACTTGTGATCTCTGTCTGTCAAATAAATAAATAAAATCTTTAAAAAAATTTTTTTTCCTTCTCTGAGCTTTGGGATCAACTTGTCTAGATTCCCCCACAAAAAATCTGCCAGTATTTTATTGGATTTAATTAAACTGGTAGATTCATTTGGGAGCCTTGACATCAGTATGGAGGTTGAAGCTTTCTTGTCAGAAGCACGGCGTGCCTTCTTTTCGTTGACACAGTCTTCCGTTGGTTGCTTTTGGTGGGGGCAGGAGACAGCTGACCACCAAGAGCCCTCACAGTTGGACTTCTAGCTGCCTGAGAGTGCCCACTCTGAGGGTGTGGGGACACCGGGTGTCCCAGCTGAGTCTCCTGCTCTCTTGTTGGAGGTTCTGGAATGTGCTGGACCTAGATTTGCGGGACAGGTCACTCAGTGCTTCTGGCTTTCGTTTCTTTGACTCCATGATGCCTCGCTGGCTGGAGGCTCCAGTAAGACCATGGGTGTGATGCCTGGCACTGAGCGTGCCCATCGTGGTGGCTGCCATCACTGTCACCCCAGTGGAGCGATGATGCAAGAGGGCCACACGGGTTTGAGATGGTGCCCCATAGTGGGGGCAGTGCCCATGAATGGAGACCACAGGAGAAGAAACGGGGACACCTGACTTGGGTGTCCTGGGAAGGCTCATTGGGGAAATGGGAAAGCTGTGGCCCATGGGGTGGTTGGGGCAGGGAGGCACCCTGGGGATCCGTCACTGGCACCCCAACTGCACCAGGCAAGTGGTAGAAATGGATATGCCTAGAGGCACATAATGAAGGAATTGCAGAGCTGAGGTCCGAACCCCATGTCTGGATGTCTGGACGCCACCTCAGTTTGTGGATCTGAGTGCTGTACCCCCCAACCCTTAAGGGTTTGTTTGGTTGTGTTCCTCTTGGTGGGGGAGGGCTAGGGCAGAAGACACCCCCCCCCAACCCCCGCAAAGCTGGCCTGCTTAGCTCCAAAGCTCTGCTCCTGTCCCTTGTGTTTGCACCGGCGGAGCTCATTGGGAAACCTGCTTCTGACCAGCTGCTGAAAGGGCCTTTGAGTAAACAAATCCTCTGGCTTTAGGATTACATTTCAGAGTACAAGAATCTTGAACGTCTCCTCTGTCCTGTTAGAAATGTGTGTTTTGGCTCCCGTGGAAGGATCCTTTGTCTTTCAGAACTTCTCTGGTCTTGCCTGTTCCCGTGAAGCACAATGCAAACTTTTACTTAAAACCACCATTTGCCGTCCCTTCGTTGAGGCCACCTGCTTTAAAGGGACCTTGTTCCGGGAAGGAGAAACCATGTCAGGGGCCATGCTGGGCGCCAGGCTTCTTTCTTTCTTTCTTTTTTTTTTTTTTTTTAAAGATTTTATTTACTTGACAGAGAGAGAGAGAGATCACAAGTAGGCAGAGAGGCAGGCAGAGAGAGAGAGGGAGAAGCAGGCTCCCCGCTAAGCAGAGAGCCCGATGCGGGGCTCGATCTCAGGACCCTGAGATCACGACCTGAGCCGAAGGCAGAGGCTTAACCCACTGAGCCACCCAGGCACCCCTTCTTTCATTCCTGAATCTCCTTCTTTAGACGGAAGCTCTGGGCCCCACAGTTTTGGGGAGCTGCTTTCCTGCCCAGTCCCCTTCCCCACCCCGCCCCGCTTCCGACCCTGCGTATGTCTGGGTTATGAACTCAGGTCTGACTCTACACCTGTGCTCTAGAACCAAAGATTTGCCTTCTCAACTATGGAGAAGCTGCGTGTCCTCTGTGTAAATAGCTTAGTTGGCACCAGCAAGAGCTCAATTATTACGAACTAGTATTAATTTAAAAAGACAGGTTAGAGTGTCCACACGCAGAGAGGACAGAGCAGGACTGGGCGAGGTGATTTAGACTAGAGAGATGTCCATTTTCTGTTCTCTGGGGCAGGGTGGCCCTGTTCCCCAGCCCCAGGACCATTTGAGTGTGCAGGAAAGGCTCATGGGCTCTTCAGAGGTTTCCCCACTGCCGAGGTGTGTGCGGCTGCAGAAGGAGGGGTCGCCTTCTTCTCTGCTGAGGGCAGCGCGTTGTCCCATGTCAGGCAATGATCGCCCACCCACCTGCCCGCCTGGGAGGGCGCTCATCCGGGGAGGCTCTGCCGAGGAGTCTGAGTCTCTTTACCTTCTCTCAGGTCCCCGTTTCCCTCTTAACATGTCCGACAGTGGACAGTGACATGGCTCCTGTTAGTGAAGTTTTTGTGTCTCAGAGAGTCGATCATTTGAAATGTAATTTCTTCAGCTCATTAGGTCAAAACTGGCATTTAAAGCATGTATGAGGCCTTGCTAATGGCCTTTCACACTAGTCAGGGTTCTCTAGTGAAACAGGACCAAGAAGATAGAAAGGTAGATGGAGACACACGCGCACACACACACACACACACACACACACGGAATGTATGTCGATATATAACCCATGAATTATGTTATTACTACATTAATTAAATTAACCATTTGCATTAATACAATCGATAGATTAAAACATATTTTTTTGAGTAATTGGCTCACGAGATGATGGAGGCTGACAGGTTCCAGGATCTGCCGGGTGAATGTGCAGACTAGAGGCCCAAGAGCTTATGATGGTGTAAGTTCCCATCCCAAGGCTGGCAGGCCTGAGACCCAAGAATAGCTAATGTTTTGGTTTAAGTCTAAAGGTAGGGAAGAAACAAAAAACAACGTCCCAACTCAAAGGCAGTCGGGCAGGAGGAAGTCTCTTACTTGTGGGAGGATCAGTCTTTATTTTCTGGGCAGGACTTCAGCTGATTGGACAAGGCCCACCACACTGAGGAGGGCAGTCTGCTTTACTTAGTCCACCAATTTGAATGTTAGTCTCATCCAGAATTACCCTCACAGACACACCCAGAAATAATGTTGATGAAATGTCTAGACACCCTGTGGCCTAGTCAAGTTGACATATTATTACATACATACAATTAACCGTTATACCTCTGATGTAATCTTGGGGTATAAAATTCTTTTCTGAGATCATGTGGTTGGAATGGTTGGCATCAAAGCAAGTAGGCACGACATTCTAGGGGCTGGCGGTATCTCCCAGCTTCTCCCTTGGGTAACTGTTTAAGGGCCCTATTTTAAATTAAACAGGTTAATTTTCTCATGACAATAAACAATCAGGAAGAAGGAAGGTGATTTTATGGGTAATAATGATCCACTCCCATGAAGGAGAGCTAAAACCAGAGCCTCCAGAACCTTCTTCCAGGCCTATGCTCCAGGGCGAATGACTAACCTGGGTTTTAAGTTCCAAGGGCACGACGAGGTTTTCAAATCAGATTTTGCATTTTCTAGGCTTTGCGATACCTGAGAAACAGTTACCAACAGCCCTGTGACTCCTTAGCCTGAAACCATTTCGGGGTGTCTCTTTGGGCGTCCACATGGGGCTTCCTCAAGCCCTCAGGTCACGGGACGGTCCTTTTCTACCAGAGAACCCCGAGGAGCAGGTATTATGGATTACCGAAGGTGCTTTTTGCCAAAAATACAGATACACATGCAGATAAATGACACTTTTCATGCTTTTGGTAGAGCATAGTAGGTAAGACAACAACAATTTGCAGAGAAATTATGAGAAACCTGAAAGTGAGCCTCTCCTTTAATCATTGTACAAACTGACCAAAGAATTTCTGTGCGCTGGGGACCGACAGGTGGTATGTGTGTCTTGGACATGGTCCCCACCTGGGAGCAGCTTACTGTCTGCAGGAGCATGGGATCCTTCAGGGCCCCATTGATGATTTTTTTTGGGGGGATAGGAGGGGCTTGGTTTCTCATAGTGTCAGCTATACTCAAAAAGGAGGAGGGACAGCATAGACTACGAGGCATTTGGGAAACGTTCAAGATCATGGAGAAATAAATGCAAAGAGCATTGGTAGTCATGATAATGGTACTATTCCCAGCGGCGTCATAAACTTTCAGCCAGGCCCAGATGAATATTGTATCCTTCATGCAGTGTGACTAATGCTGGAGGCTGAAGGCCTTGTCTTAGCACTTTCCCTATGGCCCACAGTGACCCTTTACCATCCCGGAGGTAGACGCTTAGCGTTATAACTCACTGTCCTCATAAATCCTCATGGTGGAAACAGTATCGGCTTGTTTTTACAAGTCCTTGTCGTCTGAGAGAGGCTGTGGCACTTCTCTTTATTATTATCACTAACAGTAATTTCTGCTGAGAGCCTCCTGTGTGTAGGTTCCTTATATACACCGTCTCATTTAATCCTCTCTTGCCTGGGAGGGACAAATACGGTCCTTATCCTGTTGTATTTAGGAGGACGTGGAGGCTTTGGGATCGCTGGCTTGCCCGTGATCACACAGGTTGAGGGTGCCCGAGCCCCACCCCGATCCCACCTGGGTGGCCCATGGGTGCTGCTCTCAATGCCACCTGTGCTGGGAGCAGTGATGCGCGGATACAGCGGGGGCAGGTTGGGGGTCAGGGAGCAAGGGGGCGAGAGGACAGGTGTGTCATGCCCATGCAGACGCTGCACTGGATCCTGTCTTTCGTGAGTGTTTTGATCTTCTGCTCATCACAGGTGTTCTTTGCATTAGTTTTACCCTTTAAAAAAAATACTGCACTGGGGTCTTATTTATCTCGATGACTGGGCTTTGCAGTGCTCAGGGCAGGCACAATCCTCTCCTGTTTGTGGCTGAGGACCGGGAGGGCTAGCATTGTCAGGAATCCGTAGAGGTCCCATGGCCGAAAGGGACGGGGCGGGGATGTTCGCTGGGGCTTCTGGGAGCCGGGCGGGAGGTGGCAGCGTGACTTACCTGTGGGGGTCCTAGCGTTCTGCAATGTGCCTGTCTTCTTCCAGGTCGGGAAAGAGGTTGAAGAAGACCCGCAAGTATGACATCATCACTACTCCCGCCGAGCGCGTGGAGATGGCCCCGCTGAACGAGGAGGATGACGAGGACGAGGACTCCACAGTATTTGACATCAAATACAGGTATGGGCTGGGGACAGCAGCTCCCTCCAGGGCTCTCGGGGGTTGGGGTGGCAGGGCGGTTCACCTTGGAAAACAACGCTTGGATCCACCTTGGATCCAACTGCTTGGATCCCTTCCAAGAATGCACGGCCCCCAGAAAGCCAGCAGAGAGAGGACTCCGGAGCAGCGATTACTCCCACATTCCCCCGATGCAGACGCAGGAGAAGTGTGGTCTGCGTGAAGGGCTGAACATCAGACAGAAGGATTGTCCCGCACTGCCAGGGTGGGGGGCCGGGTCCGAGCAGCCGCAGATGCCACACGGGGTGCACATAAAAGGACACTTCTCTTTCAGCCTCACCAACACTCCTGGCTGAGAGCATGGGGTGGGGTGGGGGTTACTCCTTGGGTGGAATTTGCCGATGAGCTCCAGAGGCCAGGGTGTGACCTGAAGGCGGCCCCGTTGGAAAGTCAGAAGGCCTTTGTGACTTCAGGCTTTAGTCTGGTTTTTGGACCCTTTTGGAGGGTCCTTCGGATCACTGTAAGGCTGAGGGGAGCGTAGTTTAGAGATGAGGACTCAAAGCCTCAGAGAAGAGAAAGCTGTTTGCCCAAAGTTCCAGTTACTACCAACAAAAGGGAACCACAGGTCTGGGCTGGACCCCACCCTGAGCCCTCTCTGCCAGAGTTCTCCAGAGAAACAGAACCAAAAGAAAGATTTATTTTCAAGGTCTAAGTCTGACGGTCTAAGAACCAGGAGAGTCAGTGGTGTGCGTCCCGGTCCAGGTGTAGGAGAAGACCAGCGTCCCAGCTTGAAAGTCCGCGAGGAAAGTGAATTCCCTCCTACCCCACCCCCATCAGAGAGGGCAATCTGCTTCACTTGGCCTACTGCTAAAATTGTCACTCTCCCCCAGAAACGCCTTCCCAGACACACCCAGGACAGTGTTTGACCAAATATCTGGGCACGCTGTGACTCGGTCAAGGTGACACGTAAGCTTCTCCATCCTTGAGAAGGCAAGTCTCCCCCACCTCTCCTGACTAATTCTTTATCAGCACAGCCCTGGCCACTCCTGGCCCTTCTGTATAAATCAGTTGTCAGAATCAACAAAACCAAGTTTGGGGTTTTGACTCTGTGTATCAGCTTAAGGGGAATCAACCCCTTTATGAGAACACTTCCAATCTATGAATGTGGGTCGACTTTCCATTTATTTAGCTATTTAAAAAAATGTCTTTCAGTACTTTCAAAAATTTCTCCATAGATGTTCTATAAGTTTTGTTAGTTATATTCCCAGATATATTAGATATATCCCCCAATATGTATATATTATTATATATCTGCAAGTGTAAATTTATGTGTATATTTTTAACCTAAAAATACTGTTTTAGCATCATGTCTGAAAAAACGGCTGTGTGATCATGTTTATATACATACTACTATTAGAGTTTGTTAATGAATCACACCTCAATCTTATTAAGACCATGTAAACGTTAAAACGTGGATTGCTTATTGTAGATAGCTGAGCAAACCATTAGCTATAATTTTTTTTAAGATTTTATTTATTTATTTGTCAGAGAGAGAGAGGGAGAGAGAGTGGGCACAGGCAGACAGAATGTCAGGCAGAGGCAGAGGGAGAAGCAGGTTCCCCGACGAGCAAGGAGCCCGATGTGGGACTCGATCCCAGGACGCTGGGATCATGACCTGAGCCGAAGGCAGCTGCTTAACCAACTGAGCCACCCAGGCGTCCCCATTAGCTATAATTTGCATGTTAGGTAAGTAGCCCCCTTTTGAGTAGAATCAGAACAATTGGTGATATTCATCCGTACGACGGTGTAACACACACATGAGAAAGTTAGTGATTGTGCTGGTTTTATTGCTTAGCCATTTTATGTGTCTCACATCGAATGCACAGAAATAAAACATAATGTGAAGAAAACTATGTCCTCATTTTGAGTCACCATGAAAAGTGTCTGCTGCGTCCTACAGGCTGGGGAGTGTTATACCATGGGGAGCCCTTGAGAATCTTACGTGGGTCAATGTACTGTTTTGATTCCGAGACATAAAATCCCTTCCGTATTTAGTGACTGAACCCATAGACCTCACGAGACAGGAAAAGACCGTACCAGAGAAAGACAACAGTCAGCCTGTCTAGATGTCCTATCTTTAGACTCGTACTTTGGCGTGAGGTGGAGAAAGGGGCCCTTTCGGGGTACGCGGATACGAGTGTTATTGTGGTCCGAAGACCGCTGGGTTGCCATTGTGTCTGGTGTTGTTGGAAAGAAGGTACATATTGAAACCACCGTCAGATTAAGAAAATTCCACAGCTCGTCTTAGTTCTTCAGACACTGGAGCAGGCACCTTTCCTGGGCTGACAGTTTGTGCTGTATGGACGCTGGTACTCTGGTAGAAATTTTCAGATACGCTGTGTAAGGCAGCGGAAGCCGTCACACCATCATTCGGCCTCCAGTACTCATTTATTTCTTAACTGGAAGTTTGTACCTTTGGGCCGTCTTCACCCAAGCCCCCCACCCCCAACTCTCTGCCTCAGGTAGCTAGCTACCAATCTGACCCTTTTCTGTGAGGTTTTTTTTTTTTTTTTTTTTTTTTGAGATTCCACATATGAGTAAGGTCATGTGGTACTAGTCCTTCACTGTCCGGCTTATTTCACTTAGTGTTATGGCCTCAAGATCCATCCCTATTGTTGAAAATGGCAGGATTCCTTCTGTTTTATGCCCAATAATATTCCATTGTGTGTGTATACCACATTTTCTTGCTCTGTTCATCTGCCGATGGACACTCTGATGGTTGCCATGTCTTGGCCATGGTCGAGCCATAATGCTGTGGTGAAGGCAGGGAGGCAGTGATCTCTTCAACCTAGTGATTTTGTTTCTAGAAGCAAATGGTTTCGTTGAACCACCTGTCAGTGTTCCCCAGGTGAATGGGCGCTCTTCCTCCCGTCTTGCACAGCAGTAGCACGGAGCCCCTCAACACATGGTAATTTTTATTTTTATTTTTATTTGTTTGTTTATTTTAAAGATTTTGTTTATCCATTTGCGAGAGGGAGCATGAGCAGGGACAGAGGCAGAGGGAGAAGCAGATGCCCCACCGAGCAGGGAGCCCAACGCGGGGCTCCATCTCAGGACCCCGGGATCATGACCCGGGCAGAAGACAGATGCTTAACCGACTGAGCCACCCAGGGACCCCACATGGTAGTTTTTCATACAGGCATTACCTTAAGCCCTTCAGGCACGCTGATGTCTCCAGAGGTTTTAGCAGCAGTGCAGACAGCAATGGGCTCAACAGCTGAGAGCTGTTCGCGACCAGGAAGGGCGGGGGGTGGAGGGAGACGAACTTGGCGACATGTCCCTTTCCAGGGCTGAGGGATGGCAGGAGAGCTGCTCCCCGTGCAGAGAAGGCAGAGGGGTCTGGGGGCTCTGCCTCCCTTCCTTAAGCTTCCTTTGGGAGTGTTTCCAGTGTCTTCCATCGAGTATTTTAGAAAATCGAGTATTTAGCTCTTATTTTCAACGTACTTTTCTGGTGTCAGCCTTTCGGCTTCCCGCCACAGGCTTTCCTTACTGCCGGGTGCCCCCGGCCTCCCTGTCTGTTCAACTTCAAGTAGCTCCTGGCGGACTTTTCCGTTGTTTGTGGGTTGAAATGCTATCAGGATGCAAGTGAATTTGGAGTCGGGTCACGAGATGCAAGACTGCTCCAGTCCTCAGGCCCAAAGGCGAATGACTATTTAGGAAGACGGAACAACAGCTCTCTGGAGTACAAGTGTAATGTATGCTGTGGACAGTACAGCTAAGAGAAAGGAAAAATAAAATTGCCTGTAATCTCACTGCTTAATGGTAACCACTAGAGTGTGTATGAGTACATATCTGTGAATATTATTTTCTTTTCTTTTTGCATTTTTTTCTCAATAGAAGTAGGACTGTGTAACACATGCTGTTTTGGAATTGTTTTCCACCTGAACGACGCAGTACGAACAACTTTATAGGTCAATAAGTTTGAAAGAACGAGAGTTTTAAGACCCGTTTTATGTTTGGTTTAGTGTTTTTGGGAACTTCCTTGTCCGCACCTGACAATCCGTTCCCGGGCACTTGTCTTTCCTCTTTAGATGTCGCTCAGCTAAATATTGGGTTCCCTCTGGGGAACGATGATGTGGCTGAATTGGGACCCTGGGTTGCGTTTTGAGTGAACGCAGAGGAAAGCTGTATTCTGGGCGTCAGGGCAGTGAGGTGGTAACTCGCTAAGTTCATACTGTGGCGAGGGCATTTCTTTGATAACACTTTGTGACTTAGAGCCTGGACGCATCAGCCAGGCAGGAGATGGGGGGGGGGAAGGTGGGCAGGGCGAGGCATCTGTGCAGAGTCCCCTTTTTAGGGCTCTGATGCAGCTGGGGTGCTCTAATCCATGAGGTAAGACCTCTGTGCTTTAGGGCCCGATGTGGTGGGGGCTGGGGGGGGAGGGCAACAGAGTCCGTAGAAATGAATTTCTAGCTCTGTCCTTAAAAAGGCTAATTAGAGGAAAGCAATGATGGCTTCACAGATTACAGGGAACCGTGGGATTTTGGAATGATTCCGTATTTCACAAAGCTTTTTGAGTCCCGGGTGTTTGTGCTTTGAGCTGGGCTGGCCCAGTGTGCGGCTGTGGTTGGGTGTTTGGGTGTCTGTGCATACCCACTTTATTACGGGAGACTTCCGTGATCCCCTCTAGGCGTTTCCCCAACATGAGGCCCGTGTCCGTTCGTGGGCAGTACCGGGGGCAGTCACACCTGCAGCCTGAAGGTAGGCTGCTGGGAGCCCGGGAGCCACAGTATTCCTCCCCACCGTGTGTCCCGGCCCTGTCCCTCTGCCTCTCAGGTTCAGACGGGGTGTGGCCTGTGGGAATATACAGTCACACATTCTAGAAATGCCTGCCTCCCACCCTCTCCGGGGTAGAGCTTCCTGTGGGACTGTCATGAGAGAGGCCTGGCCTCTTGTCTTTGGAACAAGGGTGTTGGGTGGCTGTTTGCAGCAGGAGGTGAGAAAACAGATTGACTCGCTTGTCCTAGATGTGGCCCCAGGGCTCATAGTCCCCAGGGACACCCTGTGGCGGCTGCTGAGTGCACTGGGCACAGCCACTTCTGAAAGGCTGGGCTCAGAAGGCCCTTCTGCCTGTCCCGTGCTTCCTCGTCTTCTGGAACGAAGGTTCTAGAGTAAGAAACAAAGCTGTTGGGAGCACCAACCTGTGGACAGACATGGAGGCAATGGGCATTGTGAGCTTCTGAGGCCCGGAAGGAATCGTTGACCTGCAGGGCCCCGCTCCCCGGAGATGCTCGAGTAGCCCATGTGCCCCTGAAACAGCAGCAGGATCCTCCCCGGAGCCCTGGAGATGAAGCTCTGCCCGCCCTCCTCCTTACAGGGCGCCGAGCTTGTGTGTGTGAAATGGGCATGTCGTGAGACCTTTTTATTTCCCTGAGAAGTATCGGCCATGCGGGGTCCGTTCTTGGTAAGGTATCGTGCACCTTAAAACTCTCTGAGTTTCGTGTCCATGAGGGGAGAACTTACACAGACGGGAATTTGCGTGGGAATGAAAATTTACCACTGACTGAATGCAACTTACTCAGGTTCCCGCCTACACACACACACACACACACACACACACACACACACACACAGAGAGTTTATAGAGCTGCAGAAGAATCAGGCAAAAAGGAAAGAAAACCCAAAAAACAAAACCCAGCACAAATAATCATAGCAACGCTTTTGTAAAAGCTAGCCATGTCATCCCGTGCATCCTTTGTGTTCCGTGTCCTGGGATGAAGGCCACAGGAGTGCTGACAGGCGGTGGCGATCTTCACGTCGGTCTGTCTCACACGCATTCCCAGACAGGGCCTCGCTTCCTCCCTCCCTCCCTCGGCTTCTGTGTTCTTTATTCCTGGGGCCTGCGTGCCCTTTTCCCGAGGCATCCTTCACCACTGCGTGGAGAGGTCAGCTGCCAGGGCGCTGGACAGGTGCGGAGACAGGT